GGGAGGGAGGGAGGGAGGGAGGGAGGGAGGGAGGGAGGGAGGGAGGAAGAAAGGAAGGAAAAGGGAAAAAAATACTCCCCAGAGAATCCAGTGCAGATTAGATAGAATCTGAAAATACAGAAAATATATTTTACCAAGCCGTACACCAATAGTTGAAAACATTAACATTTACTAAAAAATATATTAAGAATTGTTTATTTTCCTTCTGAGATGTATGAACTAGAGTATGTAAATGCAGCATTCAGATGTTGCCTTCTTTAAGAATTCATGATGCCTTCTTAATTTTCCCATATGTTACAGTGTGGGAAAATGCAGTATTGTGGGTGCTGTGGCTAAATATCAAGCCATACATTTTACAGTTGTAAAATGAATTACAGATTAGGACAAAATTGCAAAGCATCTTTTAAATAATTCTGGCCACCCAGTGTGCGAGAAAAATAGATTCTAATTGTCTTTTGGTTCAGTTAAAAGCAGTCTTCCCATGTGTGCATGAACAAATTGGCTTGATATTGTTTGACTTTTGCTTTATTTCATTCAATCACTCTGTTGCCCTATCTTGCTCAGAACTCACCATGTAGACCAAGACTGGTCTTACATGAAAATTACTTGTCTCTGTCTCCTTAATGCATGAATTAAGGCAGTGTACCAACGCAGCCATTTCAGACACTCCCTATTTTAAGTTGAAGATCCAATGGCATTCAGTTTTATAGCTTTGTACTTCTCTCAGGAGGAATGACAATGCCTAGATCTTGCTCAACAAACTTTGTACAGAGATTGAATGTTGCAGAATTGCAGCAGTCTAGTTTGTGTGGCTGAAAATAGCTTTCCTGTAGTCTTACTTGCTCTTCCTCGGGAGAAACCCTGCAAGTGTAAGGATTGTGTTTGACTAGGTCTCACATCTTACAGACGAAAAAAACTCTCAGAGGAGAAAAGTTCATTGCATGATATTTTATTTCTTCATGTATGTTCTGTTGGCTGGCATAAAGCTTCTTTCTTTGTTCCATGATAAATGCAGTAACTCGCTAGTGTAAAATATTGTCATCTCAATCACTCAGTTCCGTGTCAGTCCTTGAGTTTTGACTGATGTGTGATTAAAAGTGGTGGAATTCACATTATATTATCTGAAAATGGTCCCTAAGTATTTCCATTATTCTGACCCAATGGCAGTTGTGAATTGTTTGCAGAATCCTCTATTTTGTTTTCTCTTTATCTACAGAGTACAGTACTGTGTTTAAAATCCACATGCATTCAAAAAATCTCTTTCTCATAGTCTAGGCTTACTGATAAATCTGCAAACCTGTGGTTCAGAACCAAGAGGCCTGGCAGGTAGAAAGAAATGTATGATATAACTTAGAGGGAGCTGAAGAGATGGTCAGTAGGTTATAGCATGTACTGCTTTTCAAGAGGACATAGTTCAATTCTCAGCACCTGTGTGGTGGCTGAAAACCAGGTCTGGAGATCTGATACCTTCTTTCAACCTCAGCAGGCATCAAGCACAAAAACAGAGGATATAAATATAGATAGATATATGGTGCAAAACATCAGTACCCATAAACAAAAACTTAGAAATCTAATATTTTTAAAAAAACAAAATGTACAAGTGGAAAAGGAAATTGTGTTTGCCACATTGTTTTGGTTTTCTAGATATTGTGGAATATTTTATTAAAGTAATCATCAAGTAATCTTATTATCTTGTATATGCTGTTTGATTTCTATGTAAGAATTAATACTAATAAAAATATAATTTCTAGACCTGGTTTTGGTCAGGTTCCCCACATGCCTATATTCCTTTCTATGGAGCCTTGCTCAAATCTCTCCATAAAGCCTTCTTTTACTGACAGAATAATTTTTTTGTTGACCAAGGAAGCAGGTGGACTAATTGCAGATCTCTACCACTTGGTTACCTCCTCCAAATGTAATTTCCTTAACTCATCCACAGGTCTACACCAGAACAACCTTTCCTCAGGCTCCACCTCCATTTCCTGGGAAATAAGCAGATACAAGTAGAACATTTAACCTTCCTTCTTCCTTTGGATACCCTCAGGCTCCCGCCTCAGTCACCCCACTCATAAGTCTCAAGGCCAAATACCTGGAAACACATTTTACATGGAACCCTCAATGATCACACCTAGTAGGATTCCCAGAAGAATTTCCTACCAGGCAACACACAACTAACAAGCTCTTAAGAACCACAAAGGGCAATAGACCCGTGGAATAAGTCACCCACCCAACAAAAACAAGGGGTGATGGAAGAACCCAGTATTACCATCTTTCCAAACCCAGATGCCAGTTGAAAAACAATAACACCAAAGAAACTATGTCTCCACTAGAGCCTAGAAAATCTACCACAGCAGGACCTGAATATTGCAACATAACTGATGCATAACAAAAAAATTTAAAATGGCTTTCATGAATATGATAGCTCTCTTT